CAATTTGTATACCTAACCCTGAGTTGTACCCCACATCTTTAAAATAAAAAAAGAAGACGACAAAGGATATTATGGCACAAGACAGGACAGTTAGCATAGTCTTGGGGTAAGAATGAAAATGTATGGCTCATTTAGGAGTAGCCCTAGAAACACTGTGTTTAGACCATCTTCCAAGGATCTTTCCAGTGTGTTAAATCCTGTGTTCTGGTAGTATTCCTAATTGATAAACTTATGTTTCACATCCTTGATCATGCACCTCAGAATTTAATGCTATGCATAATATCTTAGCTCCTGCTGGTGCATGCTGGCTAGATTCTATAGTTTCCTTGGGATATAGTCCCTTTCCCTCCTTATCAGGTTTAGCATACCTAAATCTATTTTGCAGTTAATTAAGCATACTTATTAATTTAGGTACCAGAAGGGAAGATGGGGAAGTTCCTGTAAAAGTTCTTGTCTTGCTGGGGAAACGTTTCTGTATTGTTTTCAAGAAGTGAAGGAATTCTTAAGCAGAGGTTCTTAAGCAAAATAAATAAATATTTAAATAAATAAATAAAAGAAAAAGAAATGAGAGAATGCTAGTCATTAAGAGTAGGTCACTTCTACAAACCAGATCAATTAAATGAATCTAAGGACTCATAATTTTCAGTGTCATCAACCTCAATTGCATTTGTCATGGGGCTATTTCCCAACCAGAGCCTTGATATTGGCATAGACAATATACACTTTAAAACAAATTTTAATCTTCTTTGGAGGTTATTAAGGCCTGGTTTTGATCCTTAGTTTTTTCTGTCTTTCCATAGTAGGACTTGAGAGATACTTTTGATGCTACCAAAAGGTTTTCTGGCTTTCACACGTGACTTTTAGTTGCCAATTATCTTTTAAATTTCTTTTTCTCAAGCATCAAACTTTGAAATTGTCACTCAATTCCTTTATTATTATAATTAGTATTTCCTCCACATTTTCAATTGCTTGATACTGATAAGTCATTCCTTTTTGATAGTATATGATCCCAGTTTACCTCTGGTGAAAGTTTAAAAAATTGCCAGGGGCTATCTGTGTTCCACAGATATTGGTGGAGAGGTATTCATTAACAGCCTGAGAGTGGATGATTCAGCTCCAAAATTCCATCTACATTTGGCTTTCTTGGATCCTCCTGGCGTCATTGTCAAACGTTGATTTCCCTGAAAAGCAGACTATGAGATTAAAAAATTAGCATGCTTGAAGGCTTAATAGGAAGCGCTCTTTGGGGCTATTATTTGTTCCACTATTTTCCATCTCACTTTTGTTTCATCTCACCTTCTTGGACTCCAATTACACATATATTAGATCACTTAATATTGTCCTACAAGTTACTAAAACTTTCTTCTTACTTTTTTCAACATATTTCTGTTCTTTACATTGGATTGTTAATTTCTATTAATCCGTTTGCGATTTCACTAATCATTTCTCCTACAATTTATAATCTGATATTTACACAATCCAGTGAGTTTTTCATTCCAGACATTGTACTTTTAGTTTTAAAAGCTACATTTGGATTTTTTTTTGCCATTTCCATTTCTCTGCTGATAATCCCCATCTGCCCATTCTGATGGCCACCCTTTCCTTTAAGACCATGAATACACTTGTAATAACATCTTTAAAGTATTTTCTCTTAATTCTAACATCTAAATGTTGTTGAGGTTTGTTTTTATGTATTGGAAGATTTTTAACAAAGCAGCGACATGATCTAAAATTATGTTTTTAAGTGCCACTTTTCCACGTAGTAACTTTGGTACAAAACAAAAATCAGTGTAAATGGATACCATTTTTGATGAGTTATAGTCAGATGAGGGATGATGGTAGTTTGGTCTTAAGTGGTAGAACTGCTGTGAATGAAAGGAATGGGATTCTGACCGTCAGATCTTGCTGATAGAATGGAAGAGAAGAGAAAGAGAAGTGAGTTAAAAGAATAAACCCACAGATATTGTACTCAGTGACTACAATGAGCTTGTCATGTGCTTAGACGTTAACAGAAGACGGGAAATGTTTGAGGAGGGTTTGGCAAGGGTTCTGTTTGCATATATTAAATATGAGCTGTCTGTTAGATATCCAAGTGGAGATGTTTGAATCAGCACTTGTCTGTGAGTCTGGAGTTCAACGTGAGGTCCTAGATGTTATACATTTAGAAGTCAGAGGTTCATGAGTGGTATTTAAAGCTATGGGTCTTAAGGAAACAGATGTGAGGACTGAGCCCTGGTGTACCCAACTGTATAGAGGTTTGAGGAATGAGGAGATCTTGAAAGTTAGGTAGAAGAAGAAATAAGAAAGTGATATCCAAAAGACAAAGTGACTATGGCTCAAGATATAGAAATAATTAGCTCATCAAATGTTGCTGTTAACAGGGAAAAGGGAGAAATAAGCCTTTGCTGTATCAATTCACTAACATTTGGGGTTTTGTTCCTGCAGCATGTTAATATATTAATCAATACTGTATAACATAACTTCTTGAATTGCCTGGAGTTTAAATTCTGGAAATCCTTATCATAACTAACTAGTAAAGCTATTGAGAGTCCTATATGAGACAATTTTTGGCATTTGGCCCAAAATAATGATTTTGTGAGTTAGGATAGTTACTTTCTACTTGTCATTGAAATTTCTATTTATGTATTCTTATTTATTGACTCTTTCCAGTTATATTTATAAAAGTTATTACTCTAATAATTAGATTTCTGAGAAGAGTAATTTATCGATGAAATGTGCACTCATGTTCCTTTTCTAGCCTAGTGATATACTTCTTGATATGCAGTTGTCACTCAATAAATGTGAATGTACCCATCAAAAAACTGTTTTATAAATGCTATTTGAGCCGGGTTCGGTGGCTCAGCCTGTAATCCTGCGCCTTTGGGAGGCTGAGGTGAGTGGATTGCCTGAGCCCGCGGGTTTGAGACCCGCCTGGGCAGCAAGACCTCATCTCTACAATAAAGCAAAAAAATCAGCCAGGCGTGGTAGCACATGCCTGTAATTCCGGCTACTTGGAAGGCTGAGGCGGAAGGATCGCCGGAGTCCAGCAGGTCGAGGTTGCGGTGGCCAGGAGCAGCCACTGCACTCCAGTCTGGGCGACAGAGTGAGACTCCAACTCAAAAAAAACCAAAAAACAAAAACAAAAACAAACAAACAAACAAATGCTATTTGATGTGCTATTACCACAGAAACTGCACCATTAAATAAAGGTGCCAATTTCAATTAGCATACTAGATATAGGAATGGGTTTCCTTACTGAGAGTCAGAACCTAATTAAAAATCTGAGAGTGAAATGAAGTATGTTGACTCAGGGCCACCACAGAAGATTGTGTAGATGTAAAGGCAATTGTTGAGGGTGTCTGTAATTCAGGTCAAACTCTAATCTCCAACTACCTCTGTCTCAGAAGGCCTTATGGAGTGGAGAAAACACTTTTATTAGTCAACCCAGAATAAGTACTTTTTTGTAATCAGTAGCCTAGAGGAGGTACATTTCACTTGTTAGCACAAATTAGCACATCTGCATATGTATGGAAGATCTTGGAATGGAGTGATAGCTGCAAAAATATCATTTTGGGTCTGACGAGTTCAGACACCAGTTTTACTCTCAAATTTCCATTAGCTTGGGTACAAGTGAACAAAAATGTTAAAAGATGTAATGTCAGAATTTAAATCAGTGTGGTTCTCAGTTGGGGACAAATGTGCCCCTGGGAGATGTTTGGCAATGTCTGGAAGCATTTTTTATTGTCATGATTGGGGGGAAGAAAAGTCATTAGGCAGTAGTGGAAGTGGACAGCGAATGGAGGCCAGGAATGCTGCTTAACATCCTATAAATACACAAGATAGCCCCCTCCCACACCATCCGCCAGAAAACACATCCATTCCAAATGTCAACAGTACCAGCTGAGAAACTCTGCCTTAAAGATTCGTACTTTCTAAGAAAGGGACATCTGTAATGGCTAAAATTTAATTTTATTTTAGACTCACGAGCCTCTCTCCCCAGGATCTAGTGTTAAGGAAATTTTGTTCCTAGCGTACTTTTCCAATTCCAGTTAATCATAGAGCAAAAGGCAGAAGATTGTCTTATTCGAAGTTTATCCCTTTCGTTCAAAACCAGAAATAATCAGCTGGAATACAAAGTTTTCAGATTTTTGCTCTTAAATCTCTTAAATCTCTTTATCTTTTGCAGTTGCCAACCCAGGTCCTCCCGGAAATTAAGTTGAGATAAAGAGGTCAAGGTCTCAAGTCCATTACTGGGGATTCTGTGTTCCGTGTGGCTGAAAAACTGCGGAACTGGAGCCCTGGCTGGCCCTCTAAGAAAGCATTCAATTCTGCTGCTTTTCTCGGTGCACCTCTTTCAGTCTGTCCCACCGGTTTTAAGGTACCACTGCCATTTCGCGGAGGAGACGTCATGCCTCTGCACAAAGCCAACAGGTGATTCGTCCCGGCAGATCCATGTCCCAACCACAACCGCGAACTCCCAAGTACACTGCTCGTCGGAAGGCGAGCGGAGCGGGGAAAGGAGCCGCGGAGGGGAACCGGAACACCGGGGCAAGAACCACGGGCGAGCCCAGGCTTGTCCTGGGTCTGCCAGACGCGGGGCCCAGCGGGCCGTCCGAGCAGCGGCTGGAGGAGG